TTAACATCACCTTTATTTTAACTAGATCCCTCCCTCTTCTCCCATCCATTGAGCCAAAGTTTATAACAAAAAAAAAAGGAGAAAAAAGTTGATCCAAACTAACCTAATCTCCCTTTTAAAAATTAAAAAAGAAAAGAGACCATTTCTAGACCACAATTCTGGCTTTCTGTAAGGTTGCAGTTTTTAAAAAGGATCTTTACATGACTCATCATATAATATTTCTGACTTTTGACTCTTTAGTCTTAGTGCTAGGGTTTGGCATCCTTCCAAAGGAATTTGTTTTGAGTTAGGAATAGAAATGGGGTGATGCTAGTTTAGGGAATCAGGTGAGAAAAGCAAGAGTACAAACAGCCGGTCTCTAGACACCACAGGTAACATATCACTCTGATAACCACTGCCAATTTATATCCTTTCCATATATAATTATTCAAGGACCTCCTGCAACTGTATTCAAAGCATGTGTATCTGCTTTCAAGAGAATTCAAGACATTGTGACACAGACTTTGAAAGCAATGTCAAAGACCTTCTCAAATGAGCTTGAGGAAGGGCAGCATCGTACTGGGTTTCAAAGGAACTATTTTGAAGGAAGTAATAGTTATTTACATGTATAAATTCTGATTTTTTTAAAAAAAGTCAGTCACATTAAGTAACAGTCACAACTTCTTCTGTGCATGCTTTAGAACAACCAATATGCTGGGAATGATGGTATATCCGCTGCTGCTAGGGAGAGAGGGAGAGGCTAGTCGCTTGAACTCAGGAATTCTGAGTTGCAGTGGGCTAAGCCAATCAGATATCCAAACTAAGTCTAACACCAATATGTTAAGCCTCCTGGAAAATGAGGTGGCCTGCCAGGCTGCCTAAGGAATAGTAAACTAGTCTAGGTCAGAAATAGAGTAGGTCAAAGCTCTCAGGCCAATCAGGATTGGCATTGGGAAATTGAATGGCCACTACACTTCCAGCCTAGGTTATATAAAGAGATTTACCCTAACAAATAATAATAATAATAAATGAAAATTAAAAAAACCCAAAGGGATTGGGGGGAGGGGGGTACACAGATGAGTACTACAGAAATACAGCATCACAGAATTTGAGAGTTAGAAGGGCCCTTAGCAGCCACTAGTCCAATCTAAACCAGAAAAGGAATCCTCCCACAATAGTATCTCAGATAAAACCTAGGAGGATGGTATGAAAACTTTCTTCTAGACAGTACATACATGTATTTGAGTTACCCCATAATTATTCTTTGTGCTTGACCCTAGTACACAATTGCTACTCCATATAGCCCCCAACTGGACTCATCCCAGGAATTGTGGCAACAAGAGGGTAAAAGCAATTCCTTGTTCCTCACCTCACTTAATACATATATTCCTGAAAACCTGCATGTAAATCAGAAGTTGTCAAATTGAATAGAAATTTAAATTCATTCTTTTGAGAATTTTGAGGAGTCCTTGAATGAATCCCCTTTTAAAGTGGAAAAATAGACCCTAATTTATTTTTTTTAATACATCTGAATTTTATTTTTTTTAAATCAGGGTGTGCTTTTATTTCCTACTTGGGGGAAACAAAGCTGGCGTTCTCAAGTTGTGGCCTTAAAACCAGTAACAGCTCCATGGACCTGCTGTCTAGGACCAGTGGATCACATGAGGGCTATCCTAGTAACCTTCCAATATCCTTTTCTATGTTATAATCTTTGAGTTTCCAGATAGACTTACTAAATACTTTGACCCATAAAAATGTGCATGCTCTTTCTTCATCTACATGTGATGATTTGAAAAGTGAAGATATGCTAGCTATAATATACTTGACATAATGTTTTTGTGAATTTTTCCATACCAATACTATAGAAAAGTTTCTTATGAATTTATAGTCAACAAGTATAGTGAGAAGCTCCACGGAGCTCCAGGGAGATTTCACAACCACAAAGTACACTGCATTATGAATAAAATGCCTTCCTGGCATTTCAGGCTGCCTCCAAAAAATCCCTGTGAAGCACATTCATGATAAACTTGGGCTACAAATGTTATGAGCCAATAATATATAGCAATGCATGTCAAATAAATACATATCAACACACACATGGTGTTCCATTTTTGTTAAATGTACTATTTCCTGATATTTTAAATAAACACTCAGTTATAAAACCTGGTGACTATAGCACTGTTTACTTTACATTAAAATAACCTAAGTATATAATATAGCCAGGTACCATAGCTAAACCTGGTCTTGGGAGTGAGGTTTCCAATCCAAAATATCAACAGATCACTATACTATTTTAGCACATATTTGAAACCTAATAAATGTTGATTTTTAAAAATTGCAACTTTATTCCTTATATTTGTAAGTTTGTCGGCTTCTGAGAAGAGGTTAGTTAATAGAGTCAGTCCTCAACTTTTGAGGGGATAATATCCCTAGAAAACAGTGCAAAAATACAAAATGTAAATGTTGATACATTGAACCTATAGGGAATAGGAGGTTAGGTTCCTGTGATCACCAAAAATTAATCTTTCACCAGAGATTTCTGAAAATGCACTTTTCTGCATATAATTATTTATAACAAAACATTAATTTTTATAATATGCTTTTCCCGACATAGTAACAATGAAATAACCCATGAAATGTAGTACATAAAATAAAATTGCTAACATGAAAAACATTTTTTCTCGCTAGTAGTTCCCTAGAATTTTGTGACCTTTTCTGCTAACATCTCAATAATAAAAGCACATTGACTTCACACAATATTTACTTTTCATAACACATGAAAACATTAAATACTGTATAGCAAATACAAATATTAAAACTAAAACATTTTTTAACCTGAATCTTACTTTCCACTATATCAGATGATGGTATGAAGGCTGTATGTTATACTGCTATAAATGCCCTTTGAAAACCTAGGGAGAGGCTGCTGGGTATTTTAGTTGCTGCTGTTGGAAGACACCAAGAGTGGTGAGGTCTTAATATCACTTCTGACACTGTCCTTCAGGGTGCTGGAGCTTGCGAAGGATGCACCAACTTGATCAGACCAGCAGGGGCATAACTGCAACTCAAAACTTGAGTTTTAAACGCAAACAATGAAAATATGCAACGAACGCACAGAAAGCTCTTTATTTTATAGCAGTAGGTGAACAAGAAGAGTGAAGCCCCTAGTAGCATACAAGCTGCTCCTAGTAGCATACAAGCTGCTCCACAAACTTGGGTGGGCTGTGCCTTTAATTTTTTTTTCTCTGCTGTGCACAGCCATGAATGTGCACAGTTGCCAATGTAAAAGTAAAAATGAGGGTACTAATAAAATCACACAAATGCTTGAAGTTGAGAAAGTTAAACATGCAAATGTTAAAGATTGACTGTACTTGTATTAACATGGAATTTGGGGAAATGGGAGACACTAGAGAGGAGAGTGAAGCCCTTCTAGGAGAAAGGAAAGGAGATATAGATATAGATATAGATATAGATATAGATATAGATATAGATATAGATATAGATATAGATATAGATATAGATATAGATATAGATATAGATATAGATATATAGCCTTGCTCTGCTCTCAATTTCTCAGCTTCAGACATTTTCTCTGGTTTTGAAGTATGTACTAAAATAGAAACATTATCTGGGAAAGGATGGATTACATAAACTACCATTAAGGGATTAAAACTGAGTGATTTTAGTATGCAAAAATAACTGTAAATTCAGGAATATCACATTTTTGAAAAATCACAATTACATATAAGCATAAGGCCAATAGAAATATACATGATCGGTATAGGTAGTCTATAGAATATTATTAACAATATATGCTAGAGAAGTGGCATAAAATATGAAGAATATGTACAATTAGAAAAGGAAGTAGGCAGGTGCTCTTAGCTAGGCCTATCTCAGCAGAGTTCCCGGTAGTTTAGGTTTGATACTGGAATGAAATGAGACATTCGTAGGTCTTTTAATAATTAACACAAGGAAATTTACTAGATCATAGCAGGGGAGGGGTATTCTACAAGAAACTACCTTAAGAGAACCCTGAGTTGGCTTAGTTGAGCATCAGAGAGTACCTGGGGCTACTCTTGTCAGTTTTGTATGCAGGTGGCTGTGAAGAGATGGTAATATTGCCTGAGTCTTTAGTCTTCTGAGCCAATCAAGTTTTGAGGACCAGCCTAGCTTACACAAGGGGCAGATATTAAGATATTGCTCCCATCACTGCAAATCACATGGGGGGAGAGAGAAACAAAGTGTGGGGGGATGTATCCTTGAAATACATATATACATACATACATACATACATACATACATACATACATACATATGTGTGTATATATGTGTGTGTGTGTGTATATATACATACACACACACAAGATACATAGAAAGGCCTCTAGTGCATTGGATAGATACGCTATATGGAAGATTTATGGAAAGATGTGGATAAGAATCACATAGGATGAAAAGGTACGGTCTTATACCAATGAATGTGATCATTAAGAACACAGATCCATCACATTATTCAAACAAGTTATTAACCATAGAACTAATACTATTAGTTTAACTATGAGGCAGTGTGACCTAAAGGAAAGAGCAAAATGTCCTAATTGAAAAAGCACTAGCTTTTAGGTCTCTGCCAAATGAAGAACAGTATCTTCTGACCTGCCTTATAGACTTGTGAAGATAAAATGAGAAAATGGGTGTGAAAACATTTTGAAACATTAAAATCAATAAACAAATTCAAGCCATCATTATTAATAAGATTATTTTCTAATCACATCGAAAGAGGATTGAAATGGGGACAGGACATGAGACTGCTAAGTTGTGAGAGTCAGACAAAATGCATAGCATGAAACAATGAATGGAAAAAGCTGATGATATAAAGCCAAAGAGGGCATTCAGGTAGGAGGGTCATGTGGTAAGAAGATATCTGGGGACTGGGCTGGAGGTGGTAGGTTTGGAAGAGGGGTGGTTTAAAAGGAGAAGAAAGGTCAGTGACTACAAGCTTAGTTTTGCATATTTAACAATTTTTC